GTTGTCCCCGCCGCTGTATCGAGCAGGGTCATTCGGATGTTCGCCGGATAGGAACCTTTGGACCGCCATATAGCGCTTCATCTGCCCGCTCCAACGACCCCCCCACGTCATCACTTCCCCCCTCCCCTCCCCACCCTCTCTCCTCACTGACTCGCTATTGTTTTCGCTGGGAATCGAGTTAATGCGGACCAACTTGTTATCTCTTACGCCACACTATGAGTCGGGAGCGGCGCGCGCTGGGGAGCAGGATGGAGTAGTTGTGTGTAGGGGGTGGGGGGTCGAGTGTCCGGGGGAGGGGGTAGAGGGAAGAGGGCATTGTATGCCAACTACCATTTGCGACTGCGTCATTCAAACATGATTGAATCGTTTGGCAGCCGAGCACGCTCTCGGAGACGCCCTCTGCTGCTGCCTTCTTGGACTGAATGCGTTGAATGGTTGGAGGAAGAGGTCTTTGTGATGCGATAATTCATTTTCGTGCACCGTATATATGTTATTGCGTGTGACTATTGGTGGGGGCAGGCCGACCGGTGTAGAGGAGGGCACCTCGAGCAGCGCTGCTTTAGGAGGCCCACCGCGGACGCCTTTGCGCATGAGGTTGCCTACCCTGTCGGCGACTAGACCCCTGGGCGTGTGGAAAATTTACTCGGCACTTTTCACCCATCGGCAGGTGAGTTAGGTTAGGCGAATGCTAGTCGCGTCGCTGTGTATAATACTGCTATCGCGAGACGTGGCCCTATAGTTAACTCATACTACTAGCGTGCAGTACATATGCTTCGTCAAATGCAACAAATTTTAGTTGAGCTGAAGAAAATTTGTCTTTGTCTTGACGGTGAAGTCTTGATTTCATTTTCATATTGGTGTGGTTTTCTGAGTATGCAATTAGTTATTTGTTCTTCCTTCAAATGTTTTCAGATCTTTTGTCTTTCTTAACGAACGCGAACTCTGCCCCCAACAGCAGTAGCAGCAGCAGCCGACCGTCGTGCCGAGGAAACCACCACAATGGCGGAATGTCCGCTTTGGACTACGGTACGCCACGGCGGGCCGCGCCCCTCTTCGGGGGAATAAAATCGAAAGCTAATTCTGGACCGAGTAAAACGGGAGGGCTTTACTTTGCGCTGTTTCATTAGATCTTCTGCCGGATGTCGCGGCAGACTCGCGTACACACTCGCACGCGAGTGCGTTCGCAGGATCACAAAGTTGGAGCTTTTGTCACTCAGTTTCCATTACAATTGTCGCCCACTTGAAGGCGTGTCAATTTCCGTCACTTGCAGGTGCAAAATTTCAAGGAAAACCCACACCTTTACTTGTGAAAGTGAAGCGAGTTGGAATTCACCCTCCTACAACTGTACAAGATTCATGCAATATTGTTTCCAGTGCAAGCGAAGCATTTACGCCGTAGAAAATTAATAACATCAGTTTAACATGTCACGTGCTTGACATGTCGAGTCAAACTTCGTGGTTGTGTGAGCGTCAAGGGATGTTTGCCTGACTGACCCGAACTAACGATGTGCCACACTAGTGGCTTTGCGATACCATGAGCTTCGATCAAAGATATCAAATAAATTCCTACCCGCCACTCTTTGCCGCGCTTTCTAAGACCCCCCTCCCCTTTCCCCCTTTCTCCCTACCGTCTCTCTCCCTCTCTGCTGGTGTTAGCTCTGAGCATGAGATCCGCTACCATCTCTCTCAATACCCGTAACTTTCTCCCCCTTTGCTTACCTCCTCCCCTCTTCCCACCTCCTGCTCTTCCCGATCTTCGTCTTTCCCTCTTATCCCTCCCATCCGTATCTCTGGTCCATCGCCGCAGCATCCGTTCGCAACAACTTCCGATGCTGCGCCGCTGCGAGGGGAAAATATATACGTCATTGCATGTAAGCGTAAACCCGGTCGGTTGATCTGAGCCAAGTCTAGTCGAGATTTCTTCGTAGCCGTTTTCCAATTCTGAAAGGCCATTGCGCCGGGGAAGGGTCACGCAGTTCGAACTCATCTCACAGGCCATCGACCACTGCACAAACAGTTCAGCTAGTTGACTGTTTTTGTTCGCCAAGGTTAAAATCTCTCTTGGCTTGGTTGCTTTTGGCGCAGTGCTATAGAATATCTCTCGTCTTTTCCACCCCTCCTCTGCTGACCCTCCCTCCGTTCCGGCGAGGAGCGCGCCCACCTCAAGTAGCGCGTCATGTGGTCCTCGGTCTTTTGATATCTGGCTCATCTTGCCATAACCAAACTGTGATAAAACGAAACGAGTTGTCCGTTCCTCCCAGTCCCTCCCACGATTCGGTGCCACCCCCCACCTCCCCCGGGCCCTGAGCAGTAGCCTTAAGGCCATCGCCGTTTCCTTATCAGACTACTTACAAGCAAAAATCACTTAAGTCGACTCAGCTTTTTCAAATCAAATTTCGGTCTTCCGTGCCAGTTCCGTAGCGTTATAGGACAACAACGCAGGGAGGCAATCGTTGTCGATTTAGTTCCCTTCAAATCGCACTTTTCCGGGAGCCCTATGGTGATTCGAAATAGGTCCAGTCGCTCTAAGTCGATGGAATAATGCAAACATTTCTGAGACCGTATTAGCTTTAACAGCAGTGACTATACAGTGTGATCTGGCCTGCCTCCTCACGCTTCCCGCGCGTGTGGGATTTCGCCTGCCTCCGATTTGGTCGATATGTTGCAGCAGTATCCGTTTGTTTCACGCCGCCGCGCTGCGCTACGCTCCGCCACGCCCTTTCGGTCAGTAACTCGGCCGCGTTGGGGCGTAAATCGGTGAGTCAGCAGGACCCGGACGCCTGCGGACGCCTGTCTGGGGGGGTGGGACGGAACGGGCGGGGCGGGGAGCTCTCCAATTGAACGGGAAAGAGAAATGTTTGCTGCTGTTGCATGCAGGCCCCTGGCTCAGCACCGAACCGCAATAATGATCTGGACGCGCATCCTGCCGTTGAATATGTGTGTGTCTGTCTGTGCGAGTGTTGTAGAGAGGGTTCGGGACTCCCCTCGTCACTTGCATCTCAATTGCAGTACGATCGGTTTTACGACGAAAAAAAGAGAAGTCCCAAAAATATATTTTTATGATCGCGATCTCTGCTTCCATCTCATCACTTTGCCGAGCGTCCGTGACGGTTTTGAATGCAACATTCCTCCGACCGCTTTATACACATGGCGCAGCCATGTGGACGGGCCTCGGTGAGAGGAGAGGGGGGTGGGAAGATACGGAGAGATTATTTTACACTCAGGGAAATAATTCTTTTGTCCGCCACCACACAAATGAATTTTTTTAACGGCATTAATGACCGTGATATGGTCGGGACACGTGACCATTTGGGCTCCCCGCTGCCTCTCTTCCCTCACCCCTAACTTCCCCCTCCTCCCCTCTCGGCTCTGGCTCCCCTATACTCGCCACTCTTTTCTCCCACTCTCTCTCTCATCAAATTGAATGCTTGTTACCAGAGGCACGTGCTGGTCTGACTTGTTACCCCCGCCTGACGTGGCGTGGCGCAGCGTAGAGCAGCGTAGCGCAGCGTGGCGGTGCGTAGTTGCGAGGCCCAGAGACAAAGTGGTGCCATGCCTCGGATTTATAGAGTACTACTCAGCCGGGCGAGGTACTCATCTGTCTTGAGTGGGAAGTCCGAAAGTGAGGGGGATGGGGGGAATGTAATGATTCCTTACAAATGTTTTTTGGCATGGAAAGGGACATGTCTTGCCTTGTCTCTTTGCGTGGAAGCGCTTATACTGGTGGCATGCTGTTTTACATCTCTAAAATTTTACGAAGAAGTACTGGAGTTCTTTGGGATCTCCCAACTGCCTCCACAGTAGTGCCAAATGAGAATTCCGCGGGTTGTGCGAAATTGCGAGTGTAAAATTTTGATGCATAGCCTGTCGAATATTAAGCAGCTTGTCACGGGGGTCATTTTTCATCTCTAAAAGATCATTTCAACTTCAAACCACCCAGAAGCTGGTAAGCTCAGTTTAAGTTCAAACGAAGTCCTTAAAAATCCCTTTAGTAGTTGAAAGTAAATCTTCGGGAAATTCCAACAACTTTTTGACGGTGTTGGTGTCGGTGGCTGCTGGCCGGAAGAGCAAACTTTGCTGTGCGTTCGTTTTCCTCATCTCTGCCTTTTGGCGTTTGCCGAACCGTAGCGTTCTGTTTGTTTATTTTGATCCGCGCCGCCAATTGGCTACGGCGCCGCTCGGCCCCCGTGGCGTGGCCGGGCGTAGCGGGGAGAAATGAAAAGCTGGGGAACGTTTAAGTGTGGTCATGAGGGTGGAAACATCCAACAAGTGTCAACTTGACTCTGGGCCGCGGAGGGCCTCCCGGCGGCGCCTACCGCGGGGCCTCCGGTGATGACTACGGCTCCGGCCGACAGAGGGCGTCGCGGAACGGTGCGAAGGGCATCCGCAGGCAGGCGAGAGATAAAAGGGTTTCCAGTAGGTGTAGGTGGCATATGCCCCTGTGCCAGTCGTTTATAACCCTTTTTGAAGTTGAAGTTGAAGAAGAGACCGAAGGTACTTAACTACCGAAAGGGACGCTTATGCGACCACGGTGGCCTAAGGAGGAAAGCACAAAATACGAGCGTCCCTCAGGGGTGGTTTTACAGGACCGCCCTTTTGCTGGTTGTCTTACTTCAAGCGTTTTCTAGCACTATGTGCCTACCTCTTAAGTAGCTTACAAGATACCAGAGAGAGAGAGCG